GGGGGGGGGGGGAGCGAGAGGTGAGAATGCTGTGCTGTTCAGAGCAGGGGCTGATGTGTATGTGTGTGTGGGGGGCATCCCCCTCCCCCTGCCTCAGGACTGGTTGTTCAGGCTGCTGTCTGAATTTAAAGAGACAGCATGCCGACACACACTCCCCCAACACACACACACACACACACACACACTCTCTCTCTCTCTCTCTCTCTCTCTCTCTCTCACACACACACACATATACTCTCCCACACACACACACAATCTCTCTCACACTTTTCCAACACGAGCTCTGTTTCTGTCTCCCCCCCCCACCCCACTCCCTGTCTCACACACTTTCTCCCTTCCCCCCATGTAAGCTTCAGTTGAAAAGCGGCTGGCAATCTAGTAGGATGCCCATGGAAGGATGGGATTGAGAAACCTGCATCATGTGACACTGTACCTGCCCCATGAGGCATTGCAAATCCTTCCCAAAGCACCCTGCGGCCAGTTGCACAGTGGGATAGCTACCACAGTCCACTGCTCTCTCTGTTGATGCAAGAGCTACTAGTGTGGATGCGCTCTGCTGACACAAGGAGTGTAGTGTGAACATGCAATAGTGGTTTAATTAAAGTGCTTTAATTAAAGCGGCATAACTTTTGTCGACAAAACTCTTAGTATAGAGAAAGCCTAAAATAAACTCCCAGGCTAGACTAAATCTGTCATAACTGGAGCAGGCCTCTGCCTAAGCTAGGCATCTGGGGCAAGCTTTGTAATTCTACAACTCTGCCCCTACTAGCAATTACTAAGCAATGGCCCACTTGTTGTCTATAGCTCACCATGCTGCCACTGGAGGCCTGTTTGAAACATGCTCTTTTATCCATGGTAAATTTTTCAGGTCTTTCTACATGATTACTATCAATATAAAAAAGGGAAATAATACCTAATCGTATTATTGTCACTCAAGCTGGTTTGGTAAATAGTATGGACAGTGGTGCGAGTAGGGCAGTACGGTATGCCATACCAGTAAGATATTTATAACCAGTACGCCATACCAGAAAGACACAGGAGGAGCAGAACATGGGGCCGCTGGGCAACCCCCACGCCAGCAGCACCTCCAGCATAGATTCATAGATTCATAGATTCTAGGACTGGAAGGGACCTCGAGAGGTCATCGAGTCCAGTTCCCTGCCCGCATGGCAGGACCAAATACTGTCTAGACCATGGCTGTACTGCCCCCAGTCCTGCCCCCAGCCCTTCCACACAGCTGTGTCTCCTGAGTCCTGTCTGGGATCTGTACAGCAGCCCCACAGGAGGACAGGGCTGGAGGCGGTACAGCCATGCCGGAGGAGTTGCCAGCATGGGACCACCCGGCAGCCCCACGTTCTGCTCCTTTGGCCGCTGTGGTTCCTGGGAGAGCCGTGAACTGCAGGGCTCTCCCGGGAACCGTGTCGGCAAAAGGAGCAGGGAACCGCAGCAGTGAAAGGAGCAGAACGTGGGGCCACTAGGCAACCCCACGCCAGCAGCTCCTCCGGCGTGGCTGTACTGCCCCTAGCCCAGCCCTGTCCTCCGGTGGGGCTGCTGTACAGACCCTAGACAGGACTCAGGAGACGCAGCTGCGTGGAAGGGCTGGGGGCGGTACAGCCATGCCGGAGGAGCTGCTGGCATGGGGTTGCCTAGTGGCCCCACGTTCTGCTCCTTTCGCCACTGTGGTTCCGGAGAGCCCTGTGGTTCAGAAGTCTCCGGCGCAGCGGGAGGAGGACAGAAACATCACCCACCCCCAGGTAACAGGGGATGGATCATGGGGAAGGGAGGGGGAGAGCACGGGGCCCTGGGATGGGGGTGGAGCAGGGAGGAGTCACCGGGGGGTCATGTGGGGAGGTCACATGTGCCCCACTCCCCTTTAGCTGGTGCAGCATACCGGTAAGAAATGAATTCTACTTGCACCACTGCGTATGGAGCACTTTTACCCATTATAACAGTATTGCTTATTCATATTGAGTGCTAGCAACATGTTGGTCATCCAAGATACACACTAATTAATAATAAGGCACTTTAACATGGCGCTGGAAGCAGAAATTTAATCACAAACTGGTGGAAATTGGTACTTTTTTTTTTTTAAATGTCAGCCTGGGTCCTTGATTAGTTACTGTATTTCCTTCTACCTCCAGGATGTTAAATAGCAAAACAGTTATCCCTGGTTGTCTAACAGAGTGAAAGGAAATAGGATTCTTCTTTGAGTGATTGCTCATGTGTATTCCACAATAGGTGTGCGTGCTCGCCACGTGCACCGGTGTTGGAAGTTTTTCCCCTAGCAGTACCTGTAGGGGAGCGCCCCTAGTAACCCCTGGAGTGGCGCCTCCATGGCGCGGTATAAGGGGCACTGCGCTCTCCCCCCACCCTCAGTTCCTTCTTGCCGCCAGTGAAGGTGCTTTGGAACTGCTCTGCTCCAGCTTTGCTGCAGCTCTTCCCCAGAACTCTTGTTCGTTCAGTGTATGGTACCAGTAGTTAGTAGTTTGATTAGTTTAGTTTAGTTAGTGCGCCTGGGCTGGGGCATGCCCCGGGTTTTAAGTCTTGCGACACTTGTAGACAACCGATGCCAGTGAGTGATCCGCACACGGACTGTTTACACTGTTTGGGTGAAACCCATCTCAGTGATCGCTGCAAGATTTGCAAGTCGTTCAAGCCTCGGACTAAAAGAGAGAGCGATATTAGGCTCCAGGCCATCCTGATGGAGTCGGCTTTGACCCCGACTCCGGCGCGCCGCTCCAGGTACCGCGATGTCAGTGCGCGGTGACCCCCCAGGTGCAATCTACCAGTTGGCACTGCTCTCCGTCCACAGGCACGCTAAGAAGAGGCCTTCTTTGCCGCAGCACCGGAGCAAGACTTGGGGAGAAGCTAGACTCATGTTGGGCAATCCTCGGTCCCCATTGGCCTCTAGGCCTCCGACTCAGGTTGAGCGGAGTAGCCCGGCCTGTTCGAAGCAGGCTTCCCCGGATGTCCGGATGCCCTCCAGAGCCCTGCAAGCGGCCCGGGACGTTATGTCCAGGCCGGTACCAGGAGCACCGCCAATGTTGGCCCCGGGGTCCAGAGGCAAGCCGCCCGCTAATTGCCCAGGCATGGCCCAGGCAGCATTGGTACGGGACCCTCACGAGCCTGTCAGTCGCCCCACCGTGGCCGTTACTGTCCCACCTGGACCTGCTCTTCCAGGACCAGGGCCACCTCCTCCACCCCAATCTAGCGGCACTCCACCTCACGGTGTGGCTGCTCAATGGTTAGGCCAGGAGGAAAGGATGTGCTTGGAAGGGGTTCAGCGCATCCTCTTGGAAAGCAGGCGACACTCCACACGCCGAGCCTACTTGGCAAAGTGGTCTCAGTTTTCCCAGTGGGCGGCTGAGCGGGGCGTTTCGCCCATGGCTGCCCTGATCCAGCTCATTTTGGACTATCTCCTTAACCTTAGCCTGGCAACCTTGTCCGTCAAGGTGCACTTGGTGGCCATATCGGCCTTCCACCCACGGTATTCTCCCATGCCATGACTGGCCGATTCCTTAAGGGATTGGATCATCTCTTCCCATACGTTAGGCCCCCAGTCCCGCAGTGGGACCTGAACTTGGTGCTGGCCCGGCTGATTGGTCCCCCGTTTGAGCCGCTAGGTACGTGCTCCTGGTCACACCTCTTGTGGAAGGTAGCCTTCCTGGTAGCGATCACGTCGGCTAGGCGGGTCTCAGAACTCAGGGCCCTGACCTCCGAGCCCCTGTACACAGTGTTCCATAAGGATAAGGTCCAGCTCCGCCCACATTCTTCGTTCCTCCCGAAGGTGGTCTCTGCCTAACACATGGGTCAGGACATTTTCCTGCCGGTCCTCTGCCCCAAGCGCCAAGTGAGGAGCGCTGCCTCCACATGCTGGATGTGAGACTGGCTCTGGCCTTTTACCTGGAACGGACTAAGCTGTTCAGGAAGTCTTCGCAGCTGTTCATCGCCACGGCCAAACACATGAGGGGTCGGCCAATCTCCACTCAGCGGCTCTCCAACTGGATCGCCTCATGCATCAGTACCTGTTATGACCTGGCGGGAATTCCTCTGCCGTCAATTGTGAGGGCACACTCGACTAAGGCACAAGCCTCGTCGGCTGCCTTTTTAGCCCATGTCCCCATTCAGGACATTTGCAGGGCTGCCACATGGTCTTCAGTTCACACATTCACCTCGCATTATGCGATCGTCTCCCAGACCAGGGAAAATGCCAGGTTCGGCAGGGCTGTGTTCTGTCCCGAGAGTTTGTGAACTCCTACCCACCTCCAATAGATATAGCTTGGAATCACCTATTGTGGAATACACATGAGCAATCACTCGAAGAAGAAAAGACTGTTACCTTTTCCGTAACTGGCGTTCTTCGAGATGTGTTGCTCATGTGTATTCCACATCCCACCATCCTTCCCCTCTGTCGGAGTTGTCTGGCAAGAAGGAACTGACGGTGGGGGGAGCGCGCAGCACCCCTTATACCGTGCCATGGAGGCGCCACTCCAGGGGTTACTAGGGGCGCTCCCCTACGGGTACTGCTAGGGGAAAAAATTCCGGCACTGGTGCACGTGGCGAGCATGCACACCTATTGTGGAATAGACATGAGCAACACATCTCGAAGAACACCAGTTACGGAAAAGGTAACCATCTTTTCCATTTGAACAATCTCTCTGGTCTGATTGGAATTTTATGGAGTTCCTAGAAGTTAGAGCTGAAAAATATCTATTTTGTCATTTGAATGCACAAATCAGTGTTCTGAGTAACAATTGTGGATGTCCTATCTGTTTCCAACCTTTGACCACTGTTGCACGTCGACCAGTTGTTCACAGTGATTCCCAAATCTTCTTTCTGAGTGGCTGATTACCTTTAAACTATGTACGAGAAGTTTAAATTATTCCTTTCACTGTGCATTACCTTGCATTTATGAACATTGAATTCTGTCTGCCATTCTACCGTCTCGTATCCACATTGGGTTGCAGTCTATCTTAATTCATTCTCTATGCACCACGCAGAACTGAACTACAAAGAAAAGGCTGTGCTAACGTTGCAGTGTGCTTTCCGTCGCATCCTGGCATGTAGAGCAAGGGAGAAGCGCCTTAGGGAGCAGAGAGAATACACCGAGTTAATGGAGCGCCTCCAGAGAGAGGTAAGAAGTAAGTTTAATTGGAAATACAGAGAGAGCATTTAGAAGATTGGTAACTGCACCAATATAGCAATAGGATGTGCACGTGCAGGCCTTAATTGTGTTTTGACGCAGAGTCCAGCACTCTCAGCCATCAAGTGCACTTCTGACTGACTAATGCCTGCCCTATAGTGGCTCATTGCTGTTATCCTGACATTCATTTTTATTTAAAAAAAAAAAAAAAAAAAAAATTTTAATCAGTTTTGAGATAAGCTATGCACCATAATCTTCCACTATGGAAAGAAACTCCTAGGATTATGAGAGAGAAGATACTAGAGAACGGATTCTAAATACCTTTTCTCTGCTGTCTCAAATATATTTATTTTTCTCTTTTTTTCTAACCGTGTCTCTCTATTTTAAAGGTTCCCTGTACTATCTGGGATCATCCTCTTCCCCCCACCCCCAGCTCTGTCTGAAGTTTGCTGCCCTTTCCACAAGAATTTGTAGCCTATCACTTTCTACTGTAAAAACTAAATTTTAAATATTGGAAGGCTCTGTAATTTTTATAATAGAAAATGGGTTAAATATGATTGGAGGGACCATCAATGGTGAAACTGGAAAATAATAAATGGTGACAACCTCCCATGCTCTGCCTACATTCTATGCTCTGTCCACATGTGGTGCCAAAATGAATTGCCACTCAGAGTATATTGTGCAGATCTTCAATAATGATTGTGCCTCTTCTTTCCTGCATGCTTTAATCAGCATTGAACGAATTAATGTTAATACTTAAATTGTCATCATTAGGCTTCATTGTTAATGCCACTTGGAGATGAATGGACTAGCTCACATCTCTCAGAACTATTGTTCTTCTTCGAGTGCTTGTTCATGTCAATTCTAAGTAGGTGCGTGCGTGCTGCATGCACAGTCGCTAGAAGGTTTTTCCCCTAGTGGTATCTGTAGGGTCGGCTCTGGAGCCCCTTGGAGTCGCGCCTTCATGGTGCCGTATAGGGCCCTGCCAACCCCCGGCCTCTTCAGTTCCTTCTTAGTGCCCATGGCTGTTGTTGAAACAGTGGTTCTCTCTTGCTTCAGCAAGTGATTCCCTAGCGGACTTTTTTCTTTCTTCTTGTAAATAGTTAATAGTGTTAGTGTTTTAGTATAGTAAGTTAGTGACTTATCAGGGTCAGTCCCACCCCTTTTCCCCTGAGATCGGGGCATGCTTCGGTCTCAAGGTTTAAACCCAGTGGGGCTTGCCAAAAGCCTATGCCTAGGGGCGATCCCCACATGACATGTTTGAAGTGTATGGGAGAATCCCATCAAAAACATCATTGCAAGATTTGCAGGGGATTTTGTCCCAGAATGAAAAAGGAGAGGGACCAGTGACTGAAACTCCTCTTGATGGAGCCAGCTCTCTGCCCACATTCAGAGCCGAGTCCGTCTGAACCGGCACCCAGCATGTCTGCATCAGTGCGGAGTGCACTGGCTTCAATGAGGGAGCCCCCAGCACTGAGGAAAGACTCTGGGACGAAGGGTCCTCTGCACCATCAGGACTCTCTGGCACTGAAGAGCTCCTCACTTGGGGAGGTGCAGCACTGCTCCCAATCACCAGTGCTGCGAAAGAAGCATAGAAAGATGGATAGGAGGCACTCACCCACACTGAAAACAGCTGAGCATGAGAGCTTGAGTGGAGTGCGACCTGTGCCGGGCCACTACAGTTCCAGGCCGTCTAGTGCGGTACTGTGGACTCCGGCCCTGCTGAGGGGTCTGTCGAGTCCGGTGCCTCTGGACTCCCCTCCAAGGAAGTACCACGGAGAGACACTAGAGCTTCCCTCCACGCCGGAGACTTTTTTGAGGCAGCTAGGGACCTTATAGCCCTTATGGCACTGCTGTCTCTCGCCAGGTGTGAGAGGGCACCTGATGCCAGACCACTGGCACCACAAAGGCACTCGGTGCCATCTAGAGGCAAGCCAGCCATGTTGTGGCACTAGTCGACTTCTCTTCAGCACCGCTCTCCGACACCATCCAGCATCGACTCGCCTGGTCGCCATGGAGCGAGTCTTCACCATTGGAGGCGGAGTCTTATGCCTCAAAGGTAAGTCGGCACCACTCGTAGCATCGGCACCTAAGGCCCAATGCGGGGCAGTCTCTCCCCCTATGCCCTGGCCAGCGCAGTGGCAAGTGCCTGCACAATGGCCCTTTTGGACCCCATGGGCATTTCATCAGACTCAGAGTTCGTATTTAAGGGGGTCGCTATCAGTTGCCTCTGAAGGAAGAGCTCCTCTGCTGCCTCCTTTGACCCACGAGCATTCCTGCAATACCAAGACTGGCACCAGACCCAGCGCCAAGGTCGACAACGAGCCTGAGGAACCAGGACCGCATGATCTTTGCAAGCCAGAAGGGCAAGAACAGTGTCCCGTAGTGGCCTGAGCATCTTACTCTTCGTCTCCCGAGGGGATGGGGACCTCTGCACCCCAATAGCAGGGCTCACCAGGTGCTCCTGAGGAGGGTGGCCCAAAACCTGGGGCTCCAGGTAGGGGAGGTGTCAGAGTCCTCAGACCTCAGAGTGGACATCTTGACCCCGGCTGGCCCTTCATGGGTTGCCCTGCCATTAATAAAGACAATCCATGACACGACCAAAACATTGTGGCAGACTCCAGCATCTTTGCCCTCCACAGCAAAGAGAATGTAGAGGAAGTACTTCGTGCCTTCAAAAGGGTACGAATACCTCTATACCCACCCTCCACCGGGATCGCTGGTAATAGTGGCCACAAATGAATGTGAGCGGCAGGGGCAACAGAAGCCCACGCCAAAGGCAAAGAACACAAGAACATAAGAATGGCCCTACTGGATCAGACCAAAGGTCCATCTAGCCCAGTATCCTGTCTTCTGACAGTGGTCAGTGCCAGGTGCCCCAGAGGGAGTGAACAGAACAGGTAATCATCAAGTGATCCATCCCCTGTCGCTCATTCCCAGCTTCTGGCAAACAGAGGCTAGGGACACCATCCCTGCCCAGCCTGGCTAATAGCCACTGATGGACCTATCCTCCATGAATTTATCTAGTTCTTTTCTGAAACCTGTTACAGACTTGGCCTTCACAACATCCTCTGGCAAGGAGTTCCACAGCTTGACTCTGCGTTGTGTGAAAAAATACTTCCTTTTATTTGTTTTAAACCTGCCGCCTATTAATTTCATTTCGTGACCCCTAGTTCTTGTGTTATGAGAGATAGTAAACAACACTTCCTTATCTACTTTCTCTACACCAGTCATGATTTTATAGACCTCAATCATATCTCCCCTTAGCCGTCTCTTTTCCAAGCTGAAAAGTCTCAGTCTTCTTAATCTCCCCTCATATGGAAGCCGTTCCATACCCCTAATCATTTTTGTTGCCCTTTTCTGAACCTTTTCCAATTCCAATATATCTTTTTTGAGATGGGGCGAGCACATCTGCACACAGTATTCAACATGTGGACATACCATGGATCTGTATAGAGGCAACATGATATTTTCTGTCCTATTATCTATCCCTTTCTTAATTATTCCAAGAATTTTGTTTGCTTTTTTGACTGCCGCTGCACATTGAGTGGATGTTTTCAGAGAACTATCCACAATGACTCCAAGATCTCTTTCTTGAGTGGTAGCAGCTAATTTAGACCCCATCATTTTATATGTATAGTTGGGATTATGCTTTCCAATGTGAATTACTTTGCATTTATCAACTGTGACAAAGCTCTGTCCTTGACTCCGTGGGTCCTGTGTTTCTTGACGGATTTTGCTAGCCTCAGAGGCTCACTGTGACCCTCCACATAGCCCTTCTCTCTCTAGAGGCAAGGGTCACAGTCTACTGAGCCATTTTCATCATAAGCCAGCAAGGGAGGTGAGGAGAAGCAACCCTCCCTCGCACAGTCTTTGTTGTCTCCCAGTATCAGTGATTAATAAGGGAAGGGAGCGGGGAGCCTGGGCCCGCCCTCTACTCCGGGCTCCAGCCCAGGGACCCTAAAATTAGCAGCTATGGAAGCTGACTTTTTGGAAATAGGACGTGTACAATTCCCTGGGCCACTTCCCCACAGCAGCCCCCACTCAATATCTTCACAATTACCGCAGGGCCTCCTTCCTTGCACCTGATATAGATTTGTACTGCTTCGTTCCTTCAACAGCGCAGCTCCTGACACCCGCACCTCACTGACTAACTGGGAGGCTTTTAACTAGTTCCAGCCAGTCCTTGATTGGCTTCAGGTGTCCCAATCAATCTAGCTATCTCCACTGCCTTCTAGAAGGATCTTAATTGGCCCCAGGTGGCTTGATTAACCTGGAGCAACTGCCATTTGGTTACCATGGTACCAGGGATTTGTTTAGCCTGGGGCTAACATACCTGTTCCTCACTACTTTACTGTAGCCATCTGGCCTTGCCCTATCACACAACATAAAATTTCATCTGCCATTTTGTTGCCCAATCACCCAGTTTTGAGAGATCCCTCTTCGCAGTCTGCCTAGGTCTTAACTATCTTTAGTAATTTTGTATCATCTGCAAATTTTGCCACCTCACTGTTTATCCCTGTTTCCAGATCATTTATGAATATGTTGAATAGGACTGGTCCCAGAACAGACCCCTGGGGGACACCACTATTTACCTCTCTCCATTCTGAAAACTGACCATTTATACTTACCTTTCGTTTCCTATCTTTTAACCAGTTACCAATCCATGAGAGGCCCTTCCCTCTTATCCCATGACAGCTTACTTTGCTTTAGAGCCTTTGTTGAGGGACCTTGTCAAAGGCTTTCTGAAAACCTAAGTACACTATATCCACTGGATCCCCTTGGTCTACATGCTTCTTGACCCCCTCAAAGAATTCTAGTAGATTGGTGAGGCATGATTTCCCTTTACTAAAACTGTTGACTCTTCCTCAGCAAATTATGTTCATCTATATGTCTGACAATATTGTTCTTTATTATAGCTTCAACCAGTTTGCCCAGTACTGAAGTCAGGCGTACAAGCCTGTAATTGCCAGGATCATCTCTGGAGCCCT